CAAATACAAGTAAGTGAAGATAATGGGATTAGAGTCATTTTTTTTTTTGCTTACTAATAATTTCTCCTCTCTCCACCAGATGGTCGCTTGCTGTGGGACTTCTTGCAGCAATTGCTCAACGATCGCAATCAGAAGTACAGCGACTTGATCGCGTGGAAGTGTCGCGACACTGGCGTCTTCAAAATCGTCGATCCTGCCGGTTTGGCCAAACTTTGGGGCATACAAAAGAATCATCTCTCGATGAACTACGATAAAATGTCGCGCGCGCTGCGCTACTACTACCGCGTCAACATATTACGCAAGGTGCAGGGTGAGCGTCACTGCTATCAATTCCTGCGCAATCCAACCGAGTTGAAAAATATTAAGAATATATCGCTGCTGCGCCAAACCGTTGCTGGCAATGGCGGCCCGACAGCAGCAGGCGGCGCTAATGGCAGCAATGGCGCTGGTAACGTGTCTGCGAACAACAACAACAACAGCAATAACAACAATAATGCCAACCATAACAACAATAATAGCAATCAGTCTCCCAGTACAAATTTGAGCAGCACAAATTGGACATTACCGCATCAGCAATCACCACAACGACATACAGCAGCGTCGCATGGCAACAACGGCAGCGGTAACCTGAACGGCAACAACCACAGCCACAACCACAACCACAACCTTAGCCTTAGCCACCCGCACAGTAATGGTGGTGGTGGTGTCGCCAATCAGCATATGAGTCTTCCAGCGGCGGTAGCTGCTGCGGCTGCCGCTGCTTATGGGCCACCACCCACATCGCCGCTCTTCATGCACGCCATAAATGGGGCCTTCCAATACTTGTCGAATACGGCGGGCGCACCACCCAATTCGCCTGCAATGCCACACGCGCCCAGCGAGAAATTTCAATTTGGCGTAGTCAAGGTGGAACACAACAGCAGCGAGTCGCGCTCACCGGATCACAGCGATGAGCTAAAGCCAACCGATCTGAGTGTGGCGGGTAGCAGTAGCGAAAAGCGGCCTTATTCAAGTCCATCGGCAGAGGATTGTTATCCGTAAGTATGCAATGCGCTTGAAGTGGCAATAATATGCAAGCAAGACTAAATGAATTCTCGCTCTCTTCCTCATCCTCTCTAGACTTATCCGCAATGCTGACGGACTTACCACAATCAAATTGATACGCTACAATAATGATAATGAAACGCATGCGGCCAAGCAGTCAACGCATGAGCAATTGCAACAGCAACAACAACAACAACAACAACAACAACAGCTACAGCAGCAAGCCAATAGCGCTTCAGCCAGCAACAACAGTGTTGAGCAGCAGCAACAGCAGCAGCAGCAGCAGCAACATACGCCTATGGACCATACGGATAATGAGTGTCATGAGGATGAGTCCGCCGCTAGCGCCGCGGCCGCTGCTGCGGGCGGCAGTCTAATGCCAACCGATCTGCGCAAATAAGGAGTGAGCTGAAGTAGCTAACTGTATACGACAATATTACTAAGTAAGACGATGGTGAGCCAGGTGTAAGAGAAGTATATGAGTTACTGAAAACGCAGGACAATCAAAGGATAATAGCAAGACGAAGGAAGAGTAGGATCTGAGACGTGAAATATTAAGGCAAAAGGCAGGCCGCTGCGCGAAATGTTTGCAGTGCCCATTAAAAACTGTGACGGTCTTTACAGAAGAATACTTCAGTTTAGCTACTTTTTCTTGCAACAGTGCCAAATCTAGGCTCAAGCATTGTCAGAGAGAGCTAGAGAGAGGGGAACACAATTCGGTTAAAATTGCTTTACGATATGTAAGCAGCAAGTGAACGCAAACATGGCTGAGAGAAAAGAGCATTCGTTGCACTTAAAGAAATTTGACATGGACAGTTTCTTGAAGTTGAGGAAAATGTTCGAAAAATAAATTAAATCAAAAATAGTGATTTCAAGTGTGCAAGCACACCGGCAAATAATAACTGCATACAGATATAGGTATGTTGCATACATAAATACATGCAGCTTAAATATGTATGTAGCGGTAAATGTGTGAAATTATAAGGATATATAGTATATATGCACATGGATACACACAAACGTTTGTATAGATTGTATATTAACATACAATACATATAGTAAATACATATAAATATATCTATATACATAAACAAAGCAAATTATATACATATATATAATTAAAACTATATTTACAAAATTATTAATTAAAAAAATAACACAACTAAGTAGAGTGTATATGTATGCACATATGTACATGCATATTTGATATGTATCATTAAAAAAAAAAAAAAAAAAATATTGTATACATTTAGCAAGAAAAAAGAAAACTATTATTAGTTCAATGTTTATAGGTATAAAGTTGCATATTTATATGTATGAAAGTACATACATATGCGTTGTTTAAAAATTTTAACATTAATATACTCATTAGTATTGCAACAAAACTAAAAAAAACAAATACTGCAAATAGTTTTAAACACTCACAGACACACACTGACCAGCGGAAAAAATTGTTTTATTATTAGATAAAAACACATACACGCACGCTTACACAGCGGTGTATACTAATTTTAAGTAGTATTTTGTGTTGAACCAAAAGTGCGGAATTTTCGAAATTTTGTTGAGTTTTAGTAAACAAAGATTGTTTTGAAAATGCTTTCAAATGTGGAGCCAAGAGAGAGAAAGAGAGATAATTCAACGCAGCGGCAAGCATTTAAAGCTCCGACGATCGCAGAAAGCTTTTAAATTATTTATGCGCTCTCATGTAAAATCTTGAAAAAGCTGTAAAAAGTTTCTGCTACGGGATATATTTTGGTCGTGACTGATGTAAAGCAATATTGGCCAGAGAGAGCTTTTATATTGGGTATGCGCCAACTCCTACACAAATCAGTATTGGCCGGAGGGAAGAAAGGGAGCTTTTTGCCCAATACTCCTTCAAAGGAAATCTTTGGAAAGTGGAAAATTTCGATATACTCGTATGTAAAACTAACTCAAAAGCTTAGTAAACAATATCCTGGCGAGAACCAGACAAATTACTAGAAGCTTTAAAAATTTTCTGCTATAGTATAGACTAACGTAAAGCTATATTCAGTTACTGCAGCTCCTCAAAAAAGCAGTACTGACCAAGGAGCGAAGAGAGCTTTTACCCGAGAAGTGGCCAAATTCGAAATGCTCGTAAATAAAGCTTACATAAAAGCTCGGCAACATTACAAAAAAAGTTTTAAAACTTTTAAAGTTCATTTGCTCAGCAACTTTCAAAGAGAGAATGAGATTTAAATTTCACCAAGGCTAACGGCGTGAAAGAGGCCTCGTAAAAGCTTCAAACATGCATCGCGAATGTGAAAGCGTAGAAATTAGAGTTATTGGCAGCATTGAGAGTCTAAGTCAAAAGCTGGAATTTTCTAAGCTCGGCGGGTTTTATGAAAGCTTCGATGACTTATGCAAGCTCCTTTTATTAAAAAGTGACAGCAAAGCCTGAGCGACGTACCGGAAACTAGAGTTTTATAATCACTTGAAGTGTTTGTGAAAGCTAGATTCACCTAGCCGTCTACAATTACGTCACTGAAATCTTGACAGTTGCAATTTTATGAAGGTTTAAACGACTTCTGCAAGCGATTTTTACCTAAGGTCCAGAAACTAAAGTTTTATATAGAATTTAAATATTTATGAAAACTAGTTTCACCTAAGTTAATAGCATTGATTAAGTCTTTATGTTAAAATCTGTTAAGTGAAATGCTCAGACAGAAGAAATCAGCGCAAGTCAGTTAAAAGCAGAGAAAGTTTTTTCTCTATTCCCGTTTTCATATATACAGTTAAAGAGCTTTTATGATTGAAAGATTCCTTCGAAAGCAGTCGGGAAAGTTAAATTTTTACTTGAATTTGCTTTGCAGTCTTAAGCGCTCGAAAGCTCATTTTGGAAAGCTCGAATTCAGTAAAAAACAATCAGTTTTGGCAATTTTTGTCCGATAAAAAAATATTCGTATAAAATACCTTAACAATATTCGCGCTCATCGACTAAACAATTTTCCGAAAATTCTACACAAATAAATTGTATAGTTTTTATTGCTCATATTGTTACGTAAACATCCAAGCGAAGGATGAAATGTGCCAACTGCAATTTTTATATTTAAAAAAAAAATGCTTTTTTATTAAATACAGACGAGATGTACTATATCTTTTAAACTTAGCTTGCATATTTTAAGTAAAAAAATTATTTTTAGTACATATTATTAAATTTCTTTCACGCAAATGCAAGTCTTATATTTTGCAAAAAAAAAAAACTAAGAATATAAATAAAGATGTATGTATTTAAGCAAATACTTTCATTATACATATAAAAAAAAAACAAGAATATTTTCGTAAAGTCTAAATATTTAAGTGACCCTTTTTAAGCTTTACAATAACGCCTCGGAACAGGTTTCAGCAACGTCGACAAACACACACACATATACACATATAGCCCACTGGGAAAATAGGTAAGCACCTTACGAGGTAAGCCATGTTTTCTTTCAGTTTTTAGTACCAAAATTGTCATCATGGCCAATGTCATCTACTAGTAAAGCACAAAATGAACACCTCCAACGACACATTACGATGTCAGTTGCAAAGTAACGTGAAGCCGAAGTTATCTCCAAGCGCCGAACTACTCCGAGCGACTTTCTGCTTTACACGTAACTTACTTTGTAAAGCGGCTCAGAAGTATGTCTGATACCAAATGTACATTCTAAATTCCTACTTACATAAGGCGGCCATGCCTTTGTAAAAGTAAGGGACGTTCGGCAGAGAAATGGTAATGACTGCCAGGTGAAGAGTAAGTTGCTAATAAGGTATTATTACGTGCTCCTAATTCCCACTGGGAAAAAAGCATGCATCAAGCGAGTTTTAAAACACACACACACTCACATTAACACACACAGTCAGCGTTATAAACAACCCAGAATGAATGTACATTTGGTATCAGACATACTTCTGAGCCGCTATACAAAGTAAGTTACGTGCAGTCGCTCGGAGTAGTTCGGTGCTTGGAAATAACTTCGGCTGCACGTTATTTTGTAACTGACAACGTAATGTGTCTTCGGAGGTGTTCATTTTGCCCTTTACTAGTAGATGACATTAGCCATGATGACAATTTTGGTACTAAAAACTGAAAGAAAACATGGCTTACCTCGGAAGGTGCTTACCTATTTTCCCAGTGGGAAATTATTTGTATTCGTTTTAGTGTTGTTTGTAGTTTTAAAAATTTAATTAAAATAATTAAAAATAATAACAATAGTTGGATTATGTAAAACAAACATAAATCTTAATGCAGGCAAGTTAGTAAAACATTTGCCAGTCGTTGCAATTGTAAAAGAAAACACGCATACATTCTTACAAAGCAGAAGTGAAAATATTAACAAAAATTAAAACTGTAAAATGAGTTATTTGCTCTTTTTTTATTAAAACCATACTACTAAGCAAAATGTGCGCACGCATAAAACACACACGCATAACCAACTGTACACCAACTCGCACGCATTTGCACACAACAGTTAGCAATTTTTTTTTGTTATTATCTACATTTTATTATTATTATTCATAATGTACAAACAACACAAAACGGAAAATGTATTAAAAATAATTATTTTGTTTTGTTTACAAAAGAAAGGTAAAAGAAAAGTTTTTGCAGAAACAAATGTGATAGAAAATGAAAAAAGCAAAATGTTAAAAAAAAAATAGCATACATAGGCGTCTATACATTTTTGTAATACAACAACACACGTGTTCATTTCGTTGCTTGAAAATTGGCTTTAAATTAGTAGAAAAAGAAGAAATTATAAGAAAGAAGAAGAACAGTAAAAGGCTAATTGTATATTTTTTCTCTATAATTATAATTAGTGCTTAAGTGCCACAATTAAAAGCTTCTAATATTTTTTTTTTTTTTTAAATTCAATTTAAACAAAAAGAAAATATTTCTTCATCCATTGGCTTCCATTTTCTTTGTGTTAGCACATTTACATATACATATTAATTTTATGCTATTTTCTACTTTAATGCTAATTGTAGTAATTGAAAAAAATAAATAAAAATAAAAGTAATGATAACTTACCATTAATTGCAATTAAGTTTTAGTTTTATACAACACACATTATTAAATATACAAATAAATAAAATTAATTGAAATCTTAAATGGAGTTTTTCACTTTATCATCCTGAATAGACCGGTATTCACAGGCCCGTCGAGATGGGGAGTCAACGCGGTCAATTGACCCGGGCCCGGCTGAATGTCAGGGGCACGGCGAAGAATATGCAATTAAAAAATAATAATAATTAACAAACTTTGCAAAGTGCAAAAGAAAAAATAAATTGAGCTCAAAAGAAGTTTCGTGATTTTCTTCAATATAAGAAAGTATGTTCATTGAAAGAAAAAAGAAAACACTCGCT